TGACTCTTCTGCAAAAAACTTAGGTTATCCCTGATTTACACATTCTGATGTGGAGAAGGAAGATGAACGAGGATTCCGGGACATCTTTATAAAAAGTGAATCTTACTCCAAAGCCAACTAATGTAGGCACCTGAGTCTATTTTAACTGGCCCTCTTCTTCCGGTTAAGGGCATAACCTTATTCTAAAGGGTATCAATACCATAACACTGTTTGATTCCCTAGGAAAGCCAGCAAGAGTTGAAAGAAGCCCACCAAACACGTTAAAAAACACGAATAAAGACTTCCTCACCCGATTTTATTGACTCGAAATAGCTATCAGGTTGCAGCAAAACACACTGATGTCAATGTCAACTTCTCAAAATGCATACAACCCTATTTAAATATTTAACTATAATGATGAACAAGTCAGAGTGCAACTGGAAAATAAAATCTGCCAGGATCTGCCCTTCCTTTTTGGGTTCTGAGTACCAAGTCGTCTGTTTCATTTTCCATGAAGCTGTTGGTTCCTAGCACGGGGCTTTATACCCAAGAGGCATGCAGGAAAGGAGACTTACAGAAGAGAATAGAAAGGTTTGCCCAGTTTGGGGCAGTCACTTGATCACTCTTGTCCCTCTGTGCCAATGATGGTACTTGTGTTCTGAGAAATGAAATGCTCAGGCTACAGTGTGGTGTGTCACATGATTTCAATTGTTTATTAAATTCAATCGAAACAAGGTCTAGCTAGTAAATTATTGCAAAAAATATTTCTTCTTAAAGGCAGGAAATGACAGATTTTTGACATGATGGACATTCTGTCTAGATTTTCTTAAAGCAGTAGTACTAGGAAAAGAAATCTTAGATATAAAATAAATTGCAACTCGAGTCAGATTTTAGTCCAAACAGAATTTCTGCTGCAATTCCCTCTCCGCAACTTGATTCCTATTTTTTTCTTTTCTAAGTGATTCTTAAATAAAGTTCATATTACCTCACCTCATTTTTTACTCCCTCCTTCTAGAACACCACCCCTTCCTCACGGCCCACCCAGATCCACTGATCTTTCATAAACTGGCTCCCGTTCCATCCCCTCCTTGAAGCCTTTCTCGATTAATGCAGTCCACAAGGTCTCCTCTCCTAACTTCACTGTCATGAATTACTGGTAAGTCATGTCTTTCCTTTCTCAAGGCAGTTTGGCTCTTCGGAATATTGTGTATATGCTTGTGTACCAGATGTCCCAGTTGACTCTTGGGGTCTTGCGAATGGGAAGCATCTCTTTTCGTCACTTAAAGAAGTAGCTTTTGGACTTTTGGGAACATGACGCATAATCAGATATACATTCTAAATCATAGTCCGATGTGTCTATATACCTATAAATAAATATAATTTAATCAAAAAGTTCCATGAGCTATACTTACTTATCCTTCTATTCTGCTTTACTTTTATTTTTTAAAATAAAAATGCCATCAGACACAGTAAACTGACTTCACAATGGGTTGTGACCCGTTCCAGAAGGGCACTTACTGATTACTGTGGGACCGCCATATATAGTTCCCTCCCTTAAAACAGAATTTTAAAAATTGTATGAGACCTGGCTCTCTTTAGAGTGTGTTTCTGAGCTACTTTTTTTCTTCTTTCAGTTTTTCAGACCATTATACTTGTGCCTTTTGGAGTCATCTGGGACAATTAAATCCTTGGCATATACAGTATTTTCCATCTTTTTGCCCTGAGGAATGTTATCATAAAAATAAGATTCTCTGCATTTCTATAAACTCCAATCTCCATTCTCTCATTCTTACAATACATGAAGAAGGTAGTAGACATTTTGTGGATGAAGAAATTGAGGCACAGAGAATTACGACTTCCTCAAGGGCACGTCTTTTATTTTATTATTTTTTATTTTTATCTTTTTTAAAGATTTTATTTATTTGACAGATAGAGATCACAAGTAGACAGAGAGGCAGGCAGAGGGGCAGGCAGTGAGAGAGAGAGGAGGAAGCAGGCTCTCCGCTGAGCAGAGAACCCTGAGATCATGACCTTAACCCGAAGGCAGAGGCTTAACCCACTGAGCCACCCAGGTGCCCCCACGTCTCCCTTTTGATCGGGTCATTAGAAACTAGTAAATGGGGTTTCTAGATATTTGAAGGATATAAAGTTGAGGGATGGGAACACAGTGCCTCCATATAATTGTGTGTACCTCACTTAACCAGGTCAAACGGTTTTTACTGACTAGATGAGTCAGGGGCTCTGCGGATTTCAGTCTGAAGGTCGATCAGCTTCCTTTCAGCCTCATCTTTCCATCTTTGTCTACTTGCAGTTTTTCACCTACCTACAGCTACTTATTATTCCTGGGCCTCTTCATCCTTTGTCTCTGTACCAGGATTGTTCCTCTCTCTTCTCTTTCTTAGACTAGTTCCTCTCGTCCTTCAGGTTTCCAGGCACTGTCCTTGTCTTCTCTATCTCCACGACCAGGCTTCCACAGCTTACTTTGCAGGCCTTGTCAGAGCACTTAACTAGCTGGTACTCCTGGCCTCCCACATTGTACCAGCAGGGGCTGTGTCTCCCTCACTCTTCTCTTCTGTTCCATAGTCTAAGACCATGGTAAGTTCTGGATAAACAAATGTCGAATGCATGAATGAATCAGTGAATAAGTAAGTGCATTGAGGGCAGAAACTGTTACCACTGAAGGAACCCAAGTGTGAGCTGGGGCTGGAATTGTGTGTCCTGAATCTTGGAGGCCAATCTTTTAGGATTTGGGATTCCATGGCTGATATTTTCGTGCTTCCCCATCAGCTGTAGATTTTCTGACTGGAAATTCATACAGTGAAAAAGAGCTGTGTCTAATATATTCTTTTAAGTATATTTGAGCACGAACAGGAAAATGTCACAGGGTCAAATAATTAAGGCAAGTGTATTGAGACAATTAAAAAACACCTAAATTTTGGGGCGCCTTGGAGCTTCAGTGGGTTAAGCCTCTGCCTTTGGCTCAGGTCACGATCCCAGAGTCCTGGGATTGAGCCCCTGCACTGGGCTCTCTGCTCAGCAGGGAGCCTGGTTCTCCCTCTCTCTCTGCCTGCTTCTCTGCCTACTTGTGATCTCTGTCAAATAAATAAATAAAATCTTAAAAAAAAAAAAAAAAAAAAAACCACCTAAATTTCAAAACAGCTCTTTGGACCCTATCCTGACCTCCATTTGAGACAGACCTGATTCAGGTAATGCTTCAGGCCTCCACTTCCCACGCAAAGCACTGCACTTTTGATTTTGTCCTCATCATTTTCATAAAAGTCCAGTTAGGGATTAGGGGAAGCTTCAGCACGACACAACACACACTGCATGGGTCACCATGAGTTCCTCTGCTCTGTTTCCAAAATAAATCCCAGTGATATACCATCTAGACTTGCAATGGCAAGTACTACTTTTTTTTCCTGTTTATGAATCAACAACCCATTTCCTCCTCTCCCCCTCCACCCCAACAACACATAGAAACTTGAAAAGTGCTCTTTGTGATTCTATTTAAAGAACATTCTCTAATACAAACTCCCGTCGCAGATAGGGACAGAGCAGATTTTCTTCTTTATGCTGTGACTCATGTGTCTTTATTCCCAGACTCAGGGCAGGCCAATGGTGAACACAATGGAAAAGGAAAAATAGTTTATAACTGGAAAATAAGCACATTCGAGTGAAGTACGCTCAAAGCATTATCAAAGTAAAATATGCAGCAGCACCAACAAAAGCAAACAAAAGCCCACGCAAGAGATGTGTAAATATTTCACGAAGCTAAGCCTTAATCAACTCTCCAAATCTTGCTGGTGTTGTAAACACTCAGTTTCTTTCAGTCCCACCATGACCCAGATTCCTCGCAAAAATAAAATAAAAATATGGACCGATGGTTCTTTAACAAATGTGCTGTGAAAAATACTCAGATGAGCCATATCCAGGGTTTGCTTTAACTGGAAGAAGATACCTTAATAAAAGGGAGTTGCTTCTTGGTGACTCTGGGCTTCTTTCTCCCTTCCTCCTCTAAACCTCTGCCTTTTCCCCACTGCCTCTGCCGGTTTCTGGACATTCACATCATCTTAACCTTGAACTGTCTACACTTCAAGCAGAGATTTCTCCCAACGCTTCTTCAGGAGGCCTTTTAAATTCAACAGTGATCTGCGTCTTCCCACCACCTAAAATTCACCTCCCAGTGCCCAAGTATCCCCCTTTCCCTGGACCCCCCCTTTCATTGTCCACTGCAGCGTCTGAAATTTTGAGTATCTTTTAGATCTGCCTGGATAGGATGAAAATCTGTTGTGTGTATTGGCTGGCACTGTTCAGATCTTTTCTAAAAGCCCTCTCCCAAGAACCATTTATAGCCTCCAGTCTCTACCCTGATTTAATGTGGTTCCAAAGTTCACCTCTAGATACTGAACTGGTCTCTACAATGATTTCCCTTTATCAACCTCTGCCTGTCCCCCCCCACCCTGTCTCCACCTATTTCAGGAAAAAACTACATATGTAAATGTGTGCGTGTATTAACACACACACACACACACACACACTCTCTCTCTCTCTCTCTCTCTCTCTCTCTCTCTAGTGTTTTGACCCTAAGGAGAATAAGCATGGAAAAATGAGAAAAATGCAAGTATAGTATTACCAGACAGACACAGAGACAGACACACAGACACACACACATCTATTTGTACATTCACAGTGTGCACACCCGATTGATTATAAAACCCCCGCCCAAGAACAAGAACAGCAGGTATCTTCTCCCGTTTACCTTCAAAGCCAGAACCTAAGGGAGCAATGACCTTGCAGAGAAATTCATCACCTGCGAGAAAGACGGCCCCTCCTGGAGCGCAGAATGCGATGGGGGAAAAGAGCAACAGGCAAAACGATTACCGGGCAAAATGTGGGACCGAACCCATCCCCCGTCACTACCGAGCACACCGCAAAGCTCCGGTCCCACCGGTTGGACGCCGGGCAAAGGGGGCGCGGCGGGGGGAGGGGGGCGTCTCCTCCCGCGGCCGCCGGTCGCCTACCTGCTCTCGCCCGGTTCTCCCCCGCGCGGCGGGGCGACTGCCTGCGCTGTGGCGGGGTTTTCCCGTCGCATGTCCCAAGCAGTGGCTCTCGGCGCCACACAGAGGGCTTCGGCGGGCTCTGGAGCGGCGGTCCTTTTTAGACCCGTTCCGGGAGCGAGCTGGGTGCTTGCAGGAACTGATATTACTATGCAAAGAGCAGAGGCGGCGCGCGGGAGCCGGGCGGAGACCGCGGGGGCCACCCCCACCGCGGGGCTGCAGCTGCAGCCGCCGCCGCCGCCGCCGCCGCTGCCCGGCACGGAGTCAAATTGGAGGTGGGAGTTCACGTGCCCGACTGCTCATCCGTCAGGCCCGGGAGGCGCGCACCTGTCCACGTAGGGCAGCGCCGCGGGGCCAGAGCCTCGGAGGAAGGGGCTGCAGCTCCGCGGGCGGCGGCGACGGCGGCGGTAGCAGGACGCCGAGCTCCGCCCCCGCCGCACCCCCGCCCAGCCTTCCAGGTCCCCGGGGAAGGGTTTGCAGCGGCGACTTGCTGCGCGCCAAGGGGCGTAGCTGGCTAGAGGCTGAAGGGTTACGGTTCTACTGCAAGGTGATAAGAGGCAGCCGGAAAGTTAAAGAAGAGATAAAGGTAGAGGACTGGGGCCAAGAGCGACTCAGCAGGAATGCTGGTCCTTGCTCCTTCCCACAGGTCACCAGCACCAGACTCCATCGCTGTGTCTAGACTCTAGCAGACAGTTTCTAATAAAGCCACGTGCAGTGAAGATCTGAAAGCAAGGAAACCCCCGACATTTAGTCTATGTTGCAAAATGTACAGTGTCCTGCGTATTTGGAGATAGCATTGCAGACAGTTTTCTTGTCCTTCCTCCCCACTCCCCCACCCCCATCCATGGGCGTGGATGGCTTTGAAAATCATTCCTGCCGAGTGGCTTCAGTAATACTAAATGGGATGTGTAGTATGGTTAGCAGCTGTAGATGTGCAAATGATACAATGAAAAGAACTACTATTAACTGAATATTGTGGGCTGGCACTGTGCAAAATGCCTTATATGTGCCTAATTCCCACAACTCAGTGAAGGGGGTGTTATTCTGCACTGCAAAAAAAGCAAGCTTCCACGATTTAGACACTTTGCCTGAGGTCACACCATAGTAACCTGCACGACTGGGAATCAAACCGCTCCAAAATATATATCCTCTCAACCAGTGCATAGGAAGCACCCAAGATCTTGTTGGAACATGGATTCTGATTCAGTAGGTCTTGTGTGGGCCTGGGGATCAGCATTTCTAAGAGGATCACCGTGATGTCTGTGCTGCTGGCCAAGAGACCACTTTCTAAACTACTAGGCCAGGGTTTTGAAATGAATTATTTCATGCCAGCTCTAGTTGACTGAGAGCAACTTTCTAAGGTGGGTTAAGAAGGATTCTAGGACTGTGTCTTGGTTCTTGGTCAAACCATGCAGTAATCAGTTCATCATGTTCAGTTTGATTGATGGAAAGAAGGTTGGGACAAGGTTGCTTGATGGGGAGATGGCTGACTCGCAGTCCCTGCAGTAGACCCCTTCCTAAACAACAAGGGCGGTTGTGTTTTTATGGTGGTTATAGTTTATGTTTTTTCATTTAAGGCATTGGTGCACCAAGAAGATATGTCTTTCTCCTAGTTCTCACCCTCATTAAGACAAGCTTCGTCAAATTTTTATACCTAACATTTGTGTCACACTAAACACTTTACAAAGCGCTCACATAAATGATTTTCTCTGTCTTCATAACAACACTGTAAGGAATAATTTCATGCTACAGGAAAGAAAACTGAGGTAGAGTGATTTTCCTGAGAATCACAATTAATAAGCAGGCAGAAGGAGCTAGACTGTGACAGATTTCTAGTTCAGGAGTTGTTTTTACTAGACTATTGTCTAAGTTCCTACTGCCATTGTAACAAATTACCATAAATGTGGGGGCTTAATACAACACAAATGTATTATCTTACAGTTCTGGAAGTCTAAAGCCTGAAAAATTGGTCTTATAGGGCTAAAATCAAATGATCAGCAGGGCTATGCATTCCTTGGGAGGTGCTGAGTGGATAATCTTTTCTTTCCTTATCTTTCCCCAGATTCTAGAGGCAGCCTGCATTCCTTGGCTTATGACCACACCACTTAGATCTCTATTTCTATTGTCTTAGTTCCTTTTATTCTGATCCTCCCTCACCCCTTTAATAAAGACCACTGTGATTACTTTAGGTCAACCCAGATAATTCAGAATAATCTCACCATCTCTAGATCCTTAATTTAATCACATCTGTGAAGGTCCTTTTGTCATGTATGGTAATGTATTCATGACCCCAGGGATTAGGATGTAGATATTTTTTGAAGGATCATTATGATACCTACAGAAACCTCACTTAGTATTTACCCTATAGTTTCTACTATACCTGACACATCCTTCTCTTCTCGATTTCTCAGACTTCTCGGACATTCTTTCAATGGAAAAATTCACTTGAAAGTTCTTCAAGGGACCATAATAAATGTGTGGTGGCAAGAAACACCCCAAGAACACGAAAAGGCCATGAAGATCTATAAGAATATTGTCATGAAAAGGACATATGGGATTAGGGCATACTTATTGCTCTGAATGACAATGAGGTAATCCTTAGGGGAAGTCCTAACCACTATTAAAGGCTCTCTTTAACAACACAGAATTTTTCAAAAATTCTGCTTCTCAAAGTGTACACTGTTTCAGGAAAATAAGGCAAGTCAAAACTGATGCAAAATTAAGTATGACATCAAATTCCAAACTGAGTGATAGTTTTCAGTGATGAGAGACATTAAACCAGTATGTCAAACAAAATCAATAAAAATTATTGAACAACTTTTATGCTCAAGGCATTTATAGAAACACTCTGATGTAGAAATGTTTGTCATTTTATTGGGACACAGAATTTATGAAAAGTGAAATAATAAAGGGTTTGAACAGAAGGAATAAAAGGAAAAGCAACATGAGATGGTACATGATTAATTACCAAGTGAATTGGATAAATTTGGAAGTTAGGTTTATACAGGAGAATGGATACAAAACCGGAAAGGTAGGTTAGAGGGTTGTGCTGCTCAAGGTCTTAAATGTCAAACCAAGGAGTTTAGACTTCCCCTGAAATAATAACAATGATAATAACATCTTATGCTCACACAGTGCCCAGTAATTTACTAAGCACTTTTTACATATTTTCAGTTATTTGACTTCTTCCTTAAACCCCCAGAAAAGTAGGCTTGCGCATGTGCATACGCACGCGAGCGCACCTCCCCCCCCCCCCCAAGCACCCGCACAAAACGCGCAGGGAAGGAAATGCAACCTCTTATCAAAGAGATGTTTTTGGCCATTCTATGTAAAATTGCAGCTCCCCTCCCCACTTACCTGCCATTCTTTTAGTCTTCTTACCCACCCACCCTCTCACACACACACCCACCCCCCAACCACCCATTCACACACGGAGCGGGCTTTGTGTTTTTCCACTGGGCTTACTACTGCATCTTCAAAGAGTCTGTATTTGTTTACTGATATCTACTATCTATGAGGGCAGGGACCTCGCCTCTAGTTTACTTCTATATCATTATCGCCTAAAGTAGTTTCCAACACTTACTAAGTGCTCAGGAAATATTTGTTGAATGGATCATTATCTCCAATTTACAAATCAGGAGCCCAAATCCCAGGTTTGAATGACCTTCATGATGTCCAACAGCTAAAAGTGCCTTTCCCAAGACTGAAGCCCAATGTCTAGTCTAGTGATTATCTGAGAGTATATTTCCTTTCTGAGTGAAAGCTGTTAGTAATGTTTAACCAGGGGCAGCAATGTATTTTCAAAAGAAAAGAATTTGAGACTAGAATCTTCTCTAAATGTCACATCTTTCCTAAAAACTTATCAGTTTAGCTGGATTGGCAAGAAGCCCTGGCGGGACGGAGTTACCAGCAGTAGATTTGGGAGGGCTGCCATCAGTGCTATGTTGGTTGGCACTGAGTAATACTGTAAGTCCTTTTCTAATTGTTCTCTGTTAATTCATGTGTACATGTCTTGACACCCTGGATTATAGACTTTTTGGTCTCAGGGACCATAACTTCTATTTCTTTTGTATCCCTGCATTCTGCCCAGTACTAGGCTCTAAACATACTTACCACTGCATGGCTACAAGAAGGCTGCCATTGCTACAAAAGTGCTGTCATCACAAACTACATTCAAAACGATGTAGGCTGCAGAATATGCCCCTTTGGCAGTAAGGATTGTTTTGAGCTGGAGGCCGATGGAAATCAACAGATGCAGAAAAAAGCCTTCTTGGAGCTTTCCTGATCTGACAAAGAGCAGACTTCTGAGAAATGAGGATTGCCATAAACCCCCTTTCCTTGGGAAGTTTTCTGATGTGAAGAAAATGGAGAGCCTACCACAAGATGGGTCTACAAAAATATCTTATTAAAATCATTAGGTTCCTCTCATATGTTTACCTTCCCACAGTTTGCTGTCCCTAAAAGTCTATACCCCCTTTTCCTCTGTCTTGTCACTTCTCTATAAACTTCTTCTTTGTAAAAATAAGCCCACTGGTTTGAGTTACCCCCCACTGAGTTTCTACTGCATCTATGCATGGTGCACGTGCAAATAAATTCTGTTTCCTTTTCCCTTGTTAATTTGCCTTTGTCTAATTTGTAGGGCCTCAGCTAGAGAACCTAGGAGGGTAGAGGGAAAAGATTTCTTTTTTCCCTCCTCTACAACAGAAGAAAAGAATTCCTGTGGAAAAAAGAATGTCTATTTTTTTTCATGCAAGAAAATTTATTTTCCAGAACCCACTCTCCTATTCACAAGTATTTGGACAGAAATCGGTCACCAAATCACCCAGGGGGCTCTGAAAATGAGCACTTAGGAATGAGGAATGGGCTTCCTTGATTTTTTGTTTGTTTGTTTGTTTGTTTAGTCTAGACATCCTGGTGTTCTAATCAGGCTGGTTCTGGGATCATCACTTAGCAGTGTCCTCCAGAGAGAATTGGTATAGAAACACTGAAGATTTATGTTCAGGTCCATTTTGATGTTACCTGACTGCATTTGGATTTCTGGAAGACCATAGCAAGTCAGGTTCCTACTTATTTTCCTCCCTCCCCTCTTTCTTTCCTCTCTTCCTTCCTCCCTTCCTTCCCAACCACCTCTTCCTGTCCCCCCTCTTCTAATACTAAATTATTGCCAAATGTTTAGATTGTCTCTATCTTGAA